AGGTCGATCTGCGGAAACGATGGAAGATGAAAAGTTCAACGCTGTTATGCAGGGATTCGATTTCACAGAAATTAATTCATTGTTTTCAAATACTTCATAACGCTTAATGAATAGAATAGAATCATTTTTATTCAATAAATATCACACGTAATTCCGATTGAGTAATTTTTTACTTTACCACTGGTTCAAAGTAATGTTTATGCATGATAAGTATATTGATATGAGCTTTGTGAATATTTTTCATACGTTATTTCAGAATACCTACTATCAGGTATAAGTATACTTTATCGATGTATTTCACTCATAAGGTATGAAAAATATTCATAAATCTCATTTCAATTTACATACATATTAAAATAAATAGAATAAGTTTTATTCAATATAAAGGAAGATTACAAGAATACTTATTGAAAGTTATCTTATATGCTTTTATCACTGGTTCAGAAAAAACTCTGTCGCAGGAAGAACCATTAAGTAACCCAGGATTTTATTTACTTAAAATAATAATTTTACGCTACCTGTTTATAACATTCGTCACCCGAAACTAAATTAGCTTTATTTGCGAGGTCCTTCTTGTGTTGGGTAATTTTGTTTATTTTTTTTTCATGTTTAGTTGTTGTTAGATGCTACGAAACTTTGGTTAATTTTTCTAAATTTTTTTAAAATGTAAAGGCAAAATTTGTCTTTCGTGTCATAATATTGGTTTACGTAATTTGTTTATATTGACAATTTTGCCTCATTCTTCACCCATGATGATGATGATGAGTTTTTTAGATCCGTTTGTTGAAAATCAAAATTTAAGCGTTTTTACCACAATATAAAATAAATCTTAAATTATGACGCAATTCTGATAATTTCTTTTTCATCCTCATCTCATTATCTATAATAATGATTTTTTTGGATTGTTTTCTTTTCACGGAAATATGTTAAATTCATAAAAACTCAATAGTTTTAAGCGCTTTTTTTAAAGCTATTTAAATTGCATTGACGTGCAGTTTAAATCGCTTTAAAATGCACGTCATGATCTCGACTAAAATAACTTCCCATTTCACACTAATAATATAATCTCTTAGGTTAAATCATCCTCAAAGGCGTGTGCACTGCGTGCGGACAGCACATTCAGGGGTGCGGCAAATGTAACCGACTCGCAATTTTCTCGATCTCCTAAATTAGTACATGGTAAGCGTCGCTCTATTTATGTCGAGTACTCTCTCACAGTCAATACTCAATACGTAAATTATTTCAAGAACAACAACTGCATCATCATAAGCAAACAGAAAACACCTGAATGTTCGACGCAATCTAATGTCTATACCACACTGCTCCAGGTTCTAGGGATTTCAGATTTAACTTGTTGAAGAGAATTCACACCTGAAATTCAAGGTTTTAGAAATCTTTTGGCTTTTTTAGAAATTAATTTGGCTACAATATCTATCACATTGCAAAACTTTGTCAGTGACATTTTCTGTTGGAAATTTTGTCGATAGTGTTTCATAAAGCGTTGCCATATGTAAGCTTCCAAAGTAAGGAAATACATATGTGTATAGTGTTAGAGCCAATATTATTTGTTTTGAAAATACATCAAATCACCTTCTCCCCAGATTACAAATTCTTTAAAATTTATAGACCGCGATATATAGCGCGAGATTCAGCACCGTTTCATTGAAAACAATAGCAGTACCCAATATGACTTTGTGGCATACTTATGACGTTGCCATTGTTAATGTTTCTATACATACCGACCAAGTGCCCGAGATGTACAACTTCGTCTCACTGCGCTACCATTGTGGGAAGTAGATAATATCAAAACTACTTTTTATCAAAAGATTACAAAAAAATTAATTAAATTAGAACTATATTCAAAAAAAGGTATAATTTAAAGTCGTAAGGTTCCGTACCCAAAGGGTAAAACAGAGCCTTATTAATATAATAACAAGTTGCTGTTCGTCTGTCCGTCAGTATGTTTTAGATTTCTCGTAAACGGATTTACAGACCTGAAATTAACATATTTAGTGTAGAATGTTGACCAAAATCGAATAATGAATTGTAAATTCATAAAGGTTTCTAAGTGGTGACAAAAAAAATAACAATTTTAGGGTCTTTTTTTCTTTCACAGATTAGAAAAAATCGTAAAGTAGGTACCTAATTGTATACCTATCTAATTTCAAAGAAAGTTAGTTCGAATATGTATGGAACCCTAATGAACCCTAGCCCAACTTCCATTTGGCGGATTTGATTTGATTTTATTGCTTATTTATATTGTAAAGTCAACTTTTTAAGTCCACTGCAGCTGAATGTGCTATGATGAAGTATTTATTTCTAAAGAATTTCTCACACTCGGAAATGGATTTAGATTCACAATTTTTAATGGATTTTCTGTTTATTTCCGGCATATTTCTATTTACATCTCTTGTATAAAAATTACTAGATGGCGTTTCTGAGAAATATAGAATGGAAATTTTAAGTTTACTAAATTTTACAATTTTATTAGAGGGATGGACGAATTCGCTCCCTTGTTAAAGTGTGAATTCAGACCTCGTATTGAATATTTCACGAACTTTACAGCCACTACAAACCTATCTGGAACAAACGCTCCAAAGAATCTAAAATTTGAGATTGTTGGGCCAGAGAATTGGTATGAACAGCCTTGTCGCACTGCGGAGTCTCGGTATATTTTATGAGTTTTACACTTTTGTTTTTCCCTCATTATTTGAACATTTTTTTGTTATATTTATCTTTTATTGGTGTTCAATAAAGAGTATTGTATTGTATTGTTTTATCTCACATTTATTTTTATCTGTCAATCGAGTGGCTCAAAAATAAATACTTATACATATCTGTTTGTTAATTTTTTATCAAAAACTTTACGTCCGGTAGAATTTTTCCCGTGTCGTAGTCTTTCTACATATACATTTATTGATATTGCCCAATATTTGTAGGCTGAATAAAGTAGGCTAAACAAACCCTTCTTCCGTATGGGATTGAAAGCTAATTGATTCGCTACCAAACGCAGACTCCACCGAGCCGTCATGATTGCGAGAATCGTGACCAAATTTAACATTTGCACAAGACTCAAATATTTGGTATTGATTGTGTTGTGATTGCTTCTGTGCATCTGACAATACTTACAAGCGTATTGTGTTCAGCTTGGGGTGTGGTCAGCGCTGATCGGGTATAACGGAACTTTTCTATATAATAGAGTTGATATATTGTAGTCTTCGAAACATTTTCACTAACTTGATTTAATCGGCCGTTGTTTTGTTAAATACTTTTTCTATCTGGGACCATGACGCATGCAGATCATTCTACTTAGGTAAACAAATTGTTTTTATTATGACACACAATATTGAGCAAAGATTGGTTTATTTCGAAAGATCAAAGTGTTAGAGAATAACACACAGTTACGTATTATTTCCGTGTCTGAATCTGTGGAAGTTCAATATCAGTGCACTCGTCTCGCACTTTCAGCGATGAGGTTTTTAAAAACCCTTTGTCTGGATCGTCTTTTGTTCTAAAAGACATGTTAGGTCGTTTACTTAAACTATCGTAACATATATGGGTATTAGAAAAAACAAATAAGTCTATGTTTAAAGACGCTGACTTCGCCAGCAGTTTGTATTGTTAGATGAAGGTTGTCCTCTTTAGTAAATTTTTTAAAAATGTACTTAAAGCTGTTCATTACCTGGTTACCGAAATTTGCAACAAAATGTATGTATTTCGGTTCTAACTAAATTTTATGATGATGTCATTAACTCAAGAATGGCATCGGTTGAAATTTAGAATCGTTTGGCAGGAATTTGGGGGAGTAAGGTATTTTATTTGGTAGAGGTTTGGTCCCCGATTATAATAATACCACCCACATTAAAAGGTAATGCACCGTTCTTGAGAAAAATCAAAAAGAAAATCCCATATAACTAACCTAAAAATGATAACTCAAAATGAATTTCGGGGATGGGAGGTGGTGAGGAAGGAGGCGGGGGAGTTGTAGAGTCGCCCCCCACTTCCACCTCCTACCGGACTTGCTTAGTTTTTTTTTTATAAATATTTAAAAATTTAATTTTGAGGTTATGTTTTTGTAATGTTTTTGACTATAAACCTGATTTATGGGGGGAGAGAGTTGACGGAGGGAAGCACCACGTAGCGCAGTCGAGGGAAGCCCGGTCGACGGAGTGGTTTACAAAAAAATAACCACGAAGGGGATGGTGGGGTCTATTCACTCGCTTCGCTCGCTAATAAGACCCCGCCATCCCCTTCTAACCTAACCTGTCCAAGTCGGGGTGCCCCAAGTCCCAGCTCGCTTCGTTCGCTCTTACACTCAACAAGACACCAAAATGTTAGCTTTTATAATTACTTTTAGTTATAAACATAATATATAATATAATAATAAGCACACTACGGCTCGCACAGGTGTCTGCGATTAGCTACGACGGGCGGGGGCTGCTCTCCTTCCATGCCTACTGCTCTACAAAAACACTAGGGGTAGGGCAGACAAGACTACGTGGATTCGGAGCGTGCTGATTAAATTTTAGTACAAATCAGATATCTATAAAGTTAGGTTGCCTTTGCTCCCGCCACAACCATCTAACCTATTACAACTAAAAGTATTATTGGATGTTTAAGTATTAAATTAATTAACAGCCCAGACAGTTTTAAACAATTTAGAAATAAAACACAGTATATTATAATCATTTCTTTATTGTTTATAAACATAATTTATTATTTTTATTAATTCCTCGAAAGGATCTCTTTTATTTTTTACAATTTCTCTTCTCCATAAATATTCATATATTAAGTTGGTAAAATTTTTTCTATTATTATAGTTATCTTTGCCGAAATATCTTTTGACGACACGCCATTGAGACTCAATTTTTTGAGTGTGAGTGCCATCTGCTGCCACAAAAGGGTTTTCAGGGTCACTATGATTTACTTTTTTGTGTACGTACCCATAATTTTCCAATCCATCATAAACCCGCAAAAAATCAGTATGGATGATGGTGCCCTCAGCCACGTTTTTTAATCAAGGGCATCAAAACTTCAGAAGATCGCATATTTTGGGGACAAACTTCTAATCTTAAATCTTCACAATCATTTTCAATCATTCCCAGCACCCAATGACCTTCAATGTGCCGACCTAAAATAAGATTAAGTATTAATTTCAAATTTTATTGATAAAAATTAGCCTATTTCATCTCCAGGTCGTTAACTATATGCATGCATTTAGCCATAACTCACCTTTATTATATTTCCTTTTTCCAAATTTACTCTCATCTATTTGGACAATTTTTCCTGGACCGCCAATTTTTCCCAGGCAACTTTGTTTCTCTATTTCATAGATGACTACAGCCTCCCAACAGTAGTTGAACCAATCATTAACAGTTGCTCTAGATAAACAATTTTCCCTTTCAAAATAATCTTCTTTTAAAGTCATGTCATAACTCCACTTATTTACATATGCATACATTAAGTAAAATACTTGAGGCATTGTTAATTTAACATTCTCGAACCAAGTGCCTTTGCCGCGGCTAACTTTTGATTTAGATCTGCATGGGCCTCGGTTGCAGACAAATGAGCCCACCGTTCTATTGGTGGAGTATTCTACACACATACTCTTTTTATGGTAGCTACATATTTTTGTTGCTGGGATCATGGCTTTTTCCTCAGCAAAAGCAATAGCTTGTTCCCGTGTGCCAAGTTTTCGGTATACAGTAACTAAATTCCACATTAATTTCATCTCCTCGACATATAAATGGCGTTTCCACTGGCGGTTCGTCACTGTCAAAACCGCGACTCGTAGATGGTCGAGGTTCCTCCGAATCAGACATTTTCAATGTTACACGCGTAGCATCCGGTGTAGAAAAGCAAGTAAGTCGTGTAAGCAAGCAATCGAAATCCAAATGCACGCACAGGTCAATCGAGTAGGCAGTGTGTTCGGGGTAGAAAAGTAGATAATTTGTTGTGTAGGCAAGCAATCGGTATCCAAAAAAAGAGAAAACAGTCGTCAATAAAAGCTACAATAATACACTGGAGTACACACATTCACGCAAGAAAAGCAAACAAGGGCGGAAATGGCGGGATGCATTAATTTTTTTAAAAAATTTTTTTGTAACCGCTATCCATCTTTTACAGTAATATCGTATAATTTTATCTCAGAAAGGCTAGAACCCAGAGCCGTAAAGTCAGTTTAATAATAAAAAATGTATCATTTTTCATACTTTACGCATTTTAGGTTATAAAAGTTTTTATTTATTTTTTAGATAATGGTGCATTACCTTTTAATGTGAATAGTATAATTATGATGGGGGAACAAACCTCTTCCAAATAAAACACCTTACTCCCCCAAATTCCCGCGAAACGATTCGAAATCCAACCCATGGCATCCTCAGTTGACCTTAATGTTTATAGTAACCTGTGCTTATAGTAACCTGCATTTAGAAATTACTTTTTAATTGGGCTATAATGATAAACAGATCTATTCTTTAAAATTTCAGTCCCTCTTGTAATATTAGTACTCTTGATAACATTTTCCAGCCATTGAACTGATAACGTAACAAAAACCAAATTGATTCAAATGAAAGATAAAACAATGACAACCATTTGTAAAGGGAAGAAACTAGTATTATTTCATTGATAGTTGTTATGTAAACATAAAACCGAGGATAATTATTTATAAAAAGATCTATTAGAATCACTATTTTTATATAACTTTCAAACAGCCGGCGAATTATCTCCAGCGCCTGGAAAATTATAAAACATTTTTATAGGCGCCCGAAAGTTAAGCAGCACTTTTCTATTCGAATAATATACTGTACTTTTCTAAATAACTTTATTTTTCTAATTACCTATAAGTGTTTTATGAAAAATTACGTGACATCACAAGTACAATAGTAATAACAAAAGTAACAAATAGTCTCATATCATAAATTACGGACTGTGTACAAAGTAAACTTTTAGAAATACTTCAGAAGTATAAAGCTTTTAATTTACATAATAATGAAAGCTGTAAATAATGTTCTTCATTCATTGTTTATAAGTACACAAATAAAAAAGAACATAACCAAAGTTACAGTGCAAACTGACAAACACAAACTTACCATCTTTGACATTCTTCGAAGACTGAGATGATGATACTCCAGGTATAGTTTTATCACTAGCACAGTACATTATAACAAAGTCTGAAAACTTTAAATTCTATCTATACCTCATCTAGTTAAATAACTCATATAATATCTTAGTAATTAAAAGATAATACATCCGTACGTAATGCAATACACGGCGGCCATTCTACACAACATACATAGACATAGATTAGATTATTATTACATGGATCATAGAGTCATAGACTAACTAGTGGAGTTTGAAACGAACTATCTAAAATCGTGTTGACACAATCAGAGTCAATTCGACGCGAAAGTTAAAGAGTACGGCGGTAAACGTGTAAGTGTTCAAAATATGTCTTCGTGGCGAGTTTAGTTAAGGACATTAGAGGGTGGGGGTTAGTCTACTCCTAACTTTTTGATATTATCAGTAGGACTAGATTAACACCTATCCTGTGCTCCTGTCCAGCGAGCAGTCTGGCGAATGGCTTTGGGGGAGAGAGCAAATCGTGTTGACCCTCAGGGCTAGTCTGAGGAGTTCTTCCTTCAGGTGGTTGCTGCCTGTTATTTTGTCTCGTTCAATAGGAAGCATACAGAACTGAAACACTCAGACGATCCTCTTCTTCTTATCTTTTATCCCACCCCCCTTTTTCCATTCTAACCCAATCCAAGGTGTCAAGGCTACCGTGCCGATGGATGCGTGGCTGGAGGGAGTCCAGCCGCAATCGGTGCCTACCCGAGACCAGGGTGATTTTGGTAGTATTTTAGCACTTCTCTCGGCATGCGGGGCTCTGCCGGGGGCTACTGAATATTTCCCTAGCTAATCGTGGGACCAAAATGTACGAAAATCGACATTTTGAAAAGATTTTCGAAAAATCTCTTCTAATGGAACTATCTGTAGGTTTGCAAGAGGATCTTTTAGCCTTACCAATATCCTGCAACACAACGCCCCAACCCGGGACGAGCCGTAAAGTGGAGGGCACCTCTGCAGCCGAACCACAATCGAAAACGAACCAGGGAGAGGGAAAGAAAAAGTTCGCTAGGCCTTATAAGCTTAGTAGGGCAGCAAGGAAGAAGTACCGACGGCTGATAGTAGCTGAGAGCCGAAGAGGCCTTCTCTCTCGGCCAGAACTCCTGGGACGAAATTCCTCTGATCAAATCTCCCCCAGTTCCTTTTGTGAAGCTGGCAACGGCAGAGAAGAAGCTCAGCTTCAGTGCCGTAGCTGGCACGCGGAATTTGCAATTTGAATCCTATGTATGAGAAGCAGATGCGACTGCTCCACCGGGCACTAACACGGGCCATCGCTAAGACAGCCTGTGAAGCGCAGCCAGGAATGGGACTAAAATTCTCGGGTTTTCCGCCACCTCTCGGGGTGAGACTGGAACGACATCAGTGAGAGTGACGAAGACCCAAGGCGCCGATCTCGCCTCGGTACAAAGGCTTCCGCTTGTGTCGTCCAGAAGTGTGGGGAGGGGAGGTAGGAGCGGTACAGTGATAGGTAAGGCGGGGGTCAAGAGCGCCAGTAAAGGACGTCTTCGTCCTCAACGGGCGGAAAAGACCGCCCCCACGCCAAAAATGGCTAATCCCAAGGGTAAGATGAGGGTACTCCAGGAAAACTTTACCATGCAGCAGCTGCTTCTGCCCTGGTGGAGGTTTGCTTTGCACAAAACAATATTGACCTCGCCCTCATACAAGAGCCTTGGGTGGCCAACGGCCATGTTCTGGGATTGTCGGCTGCCGGTAAGATTCTTGTCATTACTAAAGGCAGTAAACCGAGAGCTTGTATAATTTGCAATAAAAATATTGAAATTTTAGCTGTTTCAGAGTACTGCAATGATTACCTGGTTACAGCCTTCATAAATCTCAAGGGGTGCACAGGGGCCAGAGTAATCATTGGCTCAGCCTATCTTCCCGGAGAGAACTCAGATCCTACCATCGAGTTAGAGTGAGTGTCGGAGTTGCCCGGAAACACAACGCTGAACTTGTGGTGGGTTGTGATTCTAATGCTCACCACACAGCCTGGGAAAGCACTAACATCAACGAAAGAGGTGAGTCACTTTATGATTTTCTCATCTCTAACCGTCTGGTAAGCCTTAACTTAGGGTGTACACTAACCTTTGTTACGCGTGCTAGGCAAGAAGTGTTAGACATAAGCTTTGCTAATAATATCATATCCGGGCGGATAAATGGCTGGCATGTTAGTAGCGAAAACATGATTTTTGATCACAAACACATTAAGTTTTTAATTGGAGCATTTGGAGCTGATGACCTTGTGACCATTGCGAAGGGCTTTTGTCAAAGTACTTTATCGTCCATAATACAAAGAGCCCTAATTTTATGGTGTATAAATGACTGGTGTAGGGATAATAGTTTATCAGTTAATGCTGATAAAACTCTTATAATACCCTTTACCAAAAAGAGACGGTTGGACAAATTAGTCCCACCAAAACTTAATGGTAAAGAAGTACAATTTTCCACTGAAGTTAAGTACTTGGGCGTAACAATCGACCAAAAACTAACGTGGTACTCTTACCTTAGCAACGTACGCCATAAGGTAAAAATTGCTTTAGGTACGTGCAGTCGTTTAGTAGGGAACAACTGGGGCTTGCATCACAGTATGGTCCTATGGCTGTACAGTAGCCTAGTGAGGCCGATTCTCATCTACGCCTTTATTGTCTGGTATAACAAAGTGAACCAAAAGTAACATCTTGGACGCATCAGCATATTGTAAAGAAAAAATCTATTAAACGAAGATCCCGAATGAAATGAAGACATGGCTTAAAGACAAGCATCTAAGCTAAAAATCTCATTTTAAAAATATTACTGTGAAACTGACAGCTGACACTTCTGACTGAAACTGAAAAAATCTAAATGAAGTTATCTGCAATCTGCACAGACTAACTGACGTTTGTTATCTGAAGTTTCGTAAGTTGAGGGAGGATGTGTCTGTAACTGATATGAATAAATTTTATTTGAAAAAATTGTTATCGTATTATAGTTTTGCCAAAAGGGAATATATTGCTGCCAATAATGATGCAGCACCAGTATTGGGTAACTAAAAAGACAGTGTTAAAGAAATTGGGCACTAAAGAAGACGAGTGTATTGTGGCTTCCGATGCCGAGCTTGACGCAAAATTGGAATTATTTCGATCAATATCTGATAGTTGTCTACAGTTACAACGAATATTAGACCAATATCAAGAACGAGTGTGTGTTTTAGCGCAAGAGGAAGATTCTTTAGGAAAATTTTTAAGAGATGCCGGAAAAACCTCTGAAGCTTCCGGAGAACACATGGTATCAGCTGGTAAAGCTATTTCTTATTCCGGCCAGCAGCGGTTATCAGTGAGAGGTCCCTTGCTGCGATTATATCATGAGGTTGAGACATTTAGATGCCGCGCTATTAAAGATATGCGTGCAACAGTTTCTGCTATGGAAAAGGCTCGTATTGAATACCGTGCGGCATTAAGTTGGATGAAATCTACAAGTGCTCAATTGGACCCAGATACAGGACGAGGTCTCGATAATTTTCGGAAAGCTCAGCGTCAAGTTCGTGAGAGTAAAAAAATATTTGATAAACTTACATTAGATGTCTTACAAAAGGTAAACATGATATAATATTTTTATGGTATCTTTATTTTTCATTGACCAGTGAGTAGTCGATAGCCAACTTTTCAATTAGTAAATAAATTTTTGAAACCTTTATTTATAAAATTGATTGACTTTTTATATATAACCATAATCCTTTTACCATATTTATAAAAAAAATATTGGTGCCTCTGTTATAGAAATCAAAGATATAGGAATTGATGGATTTATAGTCTTTTTGTTTTTATAGAATAAGGGTGACAAACAAGCATAAAGTCCACCTGATGGTAAGTGGAGGTTGTGGCCTATAGACATCTTCATTTATCCTTAAAAAAGAATTAAAACACAGATGCGTTTTCATCTCTAAAGACTGAGATGGAATGCCTTGTTTCTAGTAAAAAGGTTTGCCGATTCTCTACACTCCTACCATGGTTGAGCTGACCTGTTCATGCTAGAACCATAATAAAGCTACAGCATGGCTCTACCACATATGAGGAGTGACAGAACAAAACATGATAATTCCATGATGTCTAATTTTTCACAAAGGGTCAAAAACCGGCAACTACTTTGCCTTATTGCAATTTAAAAAAATATAGGTTCTAATGAATAAATAGCTGTAAAAGCTTAATAAGCATGTTCTTTATTATTATTTTTTATTTCAAATTGTTTATCTATTCTCATGTGAAAAATGGAAATATCATGTTCTGATCAGATCTGACGAAAATATCATGATTTGTACCAAACTGTTTGGAAATATCATGTTTTGAAAAAGTAAGGTTGGGAAATAACATTTTATGTTCTGGATTTATTATTTATTTAATAATTAAAATATGTGACAAATACACAATTAATAGTCAAAAATCAAATTCTTATGTCTTCTGTATCCATCTCAGTACAAATACATGCTTCATCATCATCTATTTCTTCGTTTTGTTCTGCAATGTTTCTAGAACAGCTTAATATTTGTTTGTACCATTCTAATGCCGAAAGGTTCTCCCAATCTGCACCGAACTGTTTTGTTAATAGACTAGTCACATCATTTTTCTTTGCAGCACTCAGTCCCCGGTCTTCCTGAATTTGTTCTATATTTCTGGGGTGACGTCTGCCCCTTTTCAGTAGTGATATAAACTGTTCTCCGGAGTCAAACCTATAGTTTGGTGAAGCTTTTACTACGCAGTTCAATTGTCTGCCCTGAGAAGATTTGCACTTCTTGATTATAATTTTTTTCATGGATTGTATGCCCACAAGTTTTTTGTAATTAGTTTCTAAACCTTTTATATTATACAGACACCAATCCTTACCAAGCTCGCAAACTCTGCCATGTTTAGAAAATATTTCAAAATATTCTTGCCTTGTAGTAATCACTGGTATTTTTCTCACATCTTTCTCAATTCTACCAAATAAACGGTCCACTGGCATGAAGCTATGCCCTCGCACTGGGAAATAAAGTTGTATTTCCTTAACATGTGTAGGGTACTTATTTTGAAGCCAAAATAGCAGCATATGCAACACATGGCTGTTTTTATTTTGGCCTCCGCAGCCATCACAAAAAAGTCCTACTAACTTCACATTAGCCGGTATTGTTTGAGTATTCAAGAAGCAGTATAATGCAGATCCAATTGAAACAGCACCCTTGCCAGATTCCGTTTCATCCCAGTTATACAGACAAGAATTATTTTGTTCTGATAGATCCATCACACATAAATTATATAGACTAATCTGACGGGAATAAAAAGCCTCCTGAATTGGTGTTCTAGGTAGAGGAAATACCTGCTGGAGATCAAAACAAATAGTAATACTATCATCAACCCTTTTCTTTAAAAGTTTATAGAAAAAATTTGCTCGCAATTTATGGATGCGAAGTTTTGTCATAAGTTCTTGTTTTTTTGTCGAAACTTGTTCGTTTTTTATACTATTACTCAATAGTATACAGGAACTGCAGGCATCTGATGCAGGTGAACGAAATCCAATGTTAAATTCAAATGTGAACACTTCGTAAAACATTGTTCTCTTGACTTTCAGGTCATTTGGTACACTATTATTGTAAAACATTCTCAATTTTTTCATGTTTAAAGCGGCATCCAAATATACCCTCTTGCTTTTCGCTCTATTGTAGTGGCTTTCACTGCAAGGAAGGTTTCGGAGGAAATTGCGTAAATGTTCTTTTTTCTCATGAGATTTGGCTGAGCGCCTGTCACCTCCTCTTTCTTCCTTTGGAACTTTGCCATCCATCACACATTTCATAATAGTTGATAACCTCTGCCTTTTGATAGAAAATACTGCCATGAAAAATGATTTGCATACCCTTTTCATTATTTTCTTTTTCCCATATAGGAAGAATGATGTACTTAACTTTCGAAGTTTTGTTTTACCAGAAGGCCGTGGTGTGCCTTTGCCTCTACGTTGGGGTTCAAATGCACTAATGAGACGACATAAGTACACGTCTTGGTGAACTTTTTTGGATGTTGAATAAAAGTTCTTACGGTTTCGAACGACATCCTGTTGCGATATTTGTTTACATTTAAAATTGCTTTTTTGTCCATGATTACACGTACATTGAATTCTTAAGCACAGCGGGTCATTGTCAATGTATCTAAAACAAAATAATGCACATATTGTAATCTTGTAACAGATTGAACATTTTACATGCTACACGAAAATATTTGAACGAACTTACTTATTGTTTCTTTCGGATAAAGCTTTCCTTTCTCGACGTTTCTCTTTCTTCGCTCCACTATTGAGTGCACAAACAGTATTTGACTGCTCAGACATGCTTGTAAATCACTTGAAAAAAACTTTAAATAACTTAATTTAGGTATTTCTCACTCGCAGTCCCCAATTTTCTTTAAATACCAACCGAATGCGACCAACGACCAATATTTTGACATTGACTTAAATCTGTAGTCATGTGACATATGTCAACCAAACAACGTAACCATAGACAAATAATGTCCTTTTTTACGGCTTCAGCACCCTAAGATTTAAGTAAATAAAGGGTTCAAAGTCGATAAGTTATTTTTACATGGAAATATCCTATTTTGTACCAACTCTCAATCTGCTTACCAAAAATGTATGAAATGTATCATGTTTTGTTCCGATTTTGATTATTTACATTTTTAAATATGGAAATATCATGATTTGCTTCAAACTTTTAACTTGAGGGGCTATTTACCACAGGAATAAGCACGATTTGAACCACACCAGCCTAACGGGTGACGTAATTTATGGTATTCTGTCGAATGTCATTGCTAACTTTTTTTTTACAAAAAGTCGAATTATCATGTTTTGTTCGGGCACTCCTCATATGTGTATATGTCTTTTCAATCAATTCTTTGAAGTTGTATGGTCTATTAAATATGCTCAAAGGCAATTTATATATGTAGTAGAAAAGTAGTGAATTAAAACAATTAAAAAATCTCTGTTGTTTGATGGCCAGCTCTTCAATTATTGTTTGCATATTTTAACTTTATACCTTTTTTTTTTCTTTAAATTTATATTTAATTCAAGTACAGTAATTTGGAAGCTTCATGAAAGTAAGTAAGCAGAGATTTATTAATTGGCAGCAAAAGTAAGTTATAATATGGAACTTTAATAATCAGAGAGGGTCTCTGATTAATATATACTGCTATTATTTGTTCTCATAATAATAGCAGTGCATATTGATCAGTGGCGAAGCTAGACCTCCAAGCTAGGGCAAGCCCAAGATATAAATTGATAAAAATATAGATTGTTATTTTTAGCAGTTTTATAAAAATATACCAATCTTGGTCTGTCTCCACACTTTAGTTTCATATTCAGTGCTGTCAAGGACGTGTTTAACAAAGCACACAGAAGGAGGGTTTTGGCGGGAACTTGGCTGTAGATGGATTGTCGCTCCTGTTTTGTCGCTTGAATAATGGTTTGAAGTGGATTTTGATTCGTAAAAGTGATGCGATTTTGTGAATTAAGTATCCGCGCGTGTGAACTTTTAGAGAAAACAACGAAACAAGTGCTTTGATGTCGATATAAACCTAAAGTTATTTTGATCGCTTGGGCGCCTCATGAACTTGAGTGCCTGTCGTCATCAACTGTCGCTAGGTTGAGCTGTCGTCAAAATCTCCCAAGGGCTTCGCAATGTGACGCATCAGCATATTGTGAAGAAAAAATATTAACCACTAACTCCTTTTCCACCGGAAAGCCTCAAGACAAGCTGTGACAGACCGAAGACTGGACATTGGCAGAATTATTGTGATATTATCACAATACCAAGGGCCATATAGTTATTTAAAAAAAAAAAGCACACAGAAGGCATACCACTGCTAGATAGATTGTTTTACATATCAGTAATTGCATAGCTTCAGTGCCTTTGAAGAAAGCCGTTTGGGTTTGTTTAAACAAAAGAAAAAAATATTTACATCCAATACAATACATGAACAAAAGTAAAACATGAACAAAATACAAACAAACTATGTACAAAATTGAAAAAACAAATTATTTACATTCTAATGGATAAGAGATAAGATAAGATAAGTGGAATCGTCTCGCTTTCTTATGGAAAGATTTAATTTTACTGTCGGAAGTTGAAACCCAAATTGAAAAAGCTGAAACCCGAATCGACCAAGTGAACAATCGGGTTGATAACATTATGGCAGATGTGAAGAAAACATGGGTAACCTCAAACTAGGGAAGGAGATGGAATTACAGCTCCCGTAGTAGCTACAATACCTTTGCTACGTGGGTTCAAAGTGCCGCCGTTCGACGGGACTTCTTCCTGGTCATCCTACACAATCCAGTTCGAGGCTGTCATGGAGGCGAACGGCTGGAATAAAAGCCAGGCCATGACTGTACTCACCGTAGGCCTGCGCGACCAAGCCTTAACTGTTCTGGAAGCTCTCGGTAAGAAAGTGACCTACGAGCAGCTCCTTGAGGCATTGGAGGCGAGATATGGCGACGCTCATCTGGAACACGTCTTTCGTGCGCAGCTCAAAGATCGCGTGCAACGCAGCAACGAAAACCTGCAGCAGTGGGCCCTTGAGGTGGAGAAGATGGTTCGAAAAGCATACCAGTCTGTACCTGCGCTCATTGAAGGGAACCTGGTGCAGACATTCATCGACGGCATCCGCGACCTTGAAGTCAGAGCTGCTGTGAGGCTCGGGCACCACGAGACGCCTAAAGACGCCTTGGCCCATTCACTGGAGGTGGAAGCCGTCAGCAGGATCATCGTTCCCATCGTGTCAGGGAGGTTGCAGCGGCTACAGTTCGCGACCGCAATAAAGGATACAGCCATAGGTGCTATGGCTGTGGGGAAAGGGGCCATCTTCGATCCAGCTACCCTAAGCGAACCCTAGAAAGGGAAGGTGAAAGATCTCAGGAGGGTAGTGCGGCCAGCAGCACCGCCCAGCAGCAGCAAGGAAATGAGTAAAAGCCAAGACTGCGGGCTGGGTGCTGGCTGATATTAAAAGAGCCCCAAGGATCTCGATCTCACAAACCCATGATGGGAACAGCCTAATCATCAAGGGCGAGATCAATGGAATGCCGTGTAAACTGACTATAGACACTGGAGCCTCTCATACGGTTGTTAGTTCCCAACTTATAAGTCAGTTCCTTGGGGGCTCCGCATATAACCGAGAACGCGTTAATTTGGTAACAGACAGTGTATACCCATCCGTGGAGAGGAGATGGAGTTGAAGCTAGGCAACATGATTTACCTGCATAATGTCATCGTGGCTGATATAATGGACGACTGAATCCTGGGCCTAGACTTCATGAGGAAAAATTGTTGTGAGATTGACGTTAAGCAAGGTGTTCTGAAATGTGGACAAGAGGAACTTTTCGTGGAAGGGACGTTACCAGGGAACGTGTACAGCCTTAAGAAGATTGTTCTTCCGCTGAGATCGGAAACGATTGTGCCAGTTAGTCTTCCTCGGAATCCTGGGCAACCTCATCGTTGTGTACTCATGGAAAGGTTAGTGGCTCAAACCTTGGTCAGAACCACTAACATCCCAGGAGTACGTGTGCTGAACCTTTGTGATGGGGAACAGATTATAGAAAAAGGCACACTGGTTGGTACTTGTGAGGAAGTGGATTGGTTGCGTCAGTGCCAATATCTATCGACTGGGACCCCCAGTAAGGATGCACAAACGAGAGTGAGCACACTTTTAGAAGACTGTCGCAGCATTCTCTCCCCGAATGAAATGGTCAAAGCGAAGAAGTTGTTACTCAAGTATGCCGATGTATTCTCATCAAACGATGCTGACATAGGAAAGACTTACTTAGTTCAGCACAAAATAAACACAGGAGAAGTGTTGCCTATCCGTCAGCGGCTAAGAAGATTGCCGGTAGCATGTGAAAAGGAAGTGGAAATGATTGAAGGAATGGTGAAGGATGGTGTAATTGAACCTTCATCTTGTCCATGGTGTTCACCCGTGGTGCTGGTAAAGAAGAAGGATGGCAGCATGCGGTTTTGTATTGACTACCGCCGTCTGAAAGACGTTACAAAGAAACACCTATCCCTTGCCAAGAATTGATGACACGCTGGATATGCTTACAGGAGTAAAGTGGTTTAGCATGCTGGATCTAAAAAGTGGCTACTAGCAAGTTGAAATTGACCCTAAGGACAAGGAGAAAACTGCGTTCTCGACGGGAGTGTCTGTGGCAATTTAAAGTAATGCCGTTTGGGTTGTGCAATGCTCCAGCAACGTTTGAAAGGTAGATGAAACTTGTACTTACCAGGCTAATTGGCGATGCCTGTCTGGTCGACTTGGATGACATCTTCATCGTAGGCCGTACGTTTGAGGAACACCTTCAAAACCTGGAACGCGTGCTCATGAAGATTCAGAGTGCCAACCTCAAGTTGAGTCCGAAGAAATGTTCACTATTCAAACGGCAAGTTAATTTTTTGGTGTATGTGGTATCGGGAGAGGGTATCCGCATGGATCCAGAGAAAGTCGCCGCTGTCAAGGATTGGCCGGTTCCAAAAAACAAGACGCAAGTTTAGAGCATTTTTGGGTTTGTGCTCCTATTACCGGCGATTTGTGAAGAACTTTGCAGACATAGCCAAACCTCTGCACAAGCTAACCGAGGAAATGCGACTTTTGTGCTGGGACGAAAGTTGCAATATCGCATTCCAGTGCACACCTATATTACACCTATATAACACCTATATTAGGGTATCCTGATGCAGGCAAGGAATTTATAGTTGACACAGACGCAAGTGATACAGGACTCGGCGGTGTGTTGTCTCAACGGAACGGTGATCGAGAGGTTGTGATAGCGTACTTCAGCAAGTCGTTGTCAAAACCAGAAAGGAACTATTGTGTCACAAGACGCAAATTGCTAGCTGTGGTAAAGTCGTTGCAGCATTTTAGCAAATATCTTCTGGGGCGGAAATTTCACCTACGAACTGACCATGCTGCACTAAAGTTGCGAGGTGTATTGAACGTTGAACTACTGCAGGAATACGACTTTGAGATCGAACATCGCAGCGGGAAATCTCGTGGCAACGCAGATGTATTGTCAAGAAGACCTTGTCCTGAAGATTGCAAACATTGTACTAGGCAGGAGCGTAAGGAAATGGAATCCGTGAGGATGCTCAGAACAGACCACCTCAGCAACGAGTCGAAGAACAGCTTACAACATGCACAACAGGAAGAACCGGACGTCAAGCCGATTCTGGAATGGATGAAGGCCAGTGCTCACAACCCCAAGTGGAGCGACGTCTCAGCGATGAGTTCGACCACTAAATGCTATTGGGCCCAATGGGACCGCTTGCTGCTTCAGGATGGAGTTCTGTG